TATATATATATATATATGTATGTATATACATACACACACACACACACACACGCCTTTGAGAGTTTTCCTGTTCTGTTTCATTTGGTGATTTGCCTATTCTCCATAGCTGATTAGAGGCTTTATAGCTATATCATTGCCTTTACCTTGTATTATTCTTACTCAATTTATAATAAAAAATTAACTGTCTAACTTGATCTCCACATAAAAAAGAAAAATTGTTCATTTAAAGTCTTCTCAGATTGCTTTATATAATGCCTTTTATAATATTTTTTTATTTATTTTAATTTCAGTTCCATAGTAATTTCACACCATGGTGCAGTACAGAATTTCAGGTAAGCTTTTAACATTGTGCTTAAATCTGAATCAATGAGAGTAACTATATTATTACTGATTATTCCTAAACTTCGTAAATCCAGTTGTATCTTAAATAAGAAGAACAATATATACATTCTTAAAAGAATAAAGGAAAATATCTACTCGTTGAAATATCAGATCATAGTTATATTTTATTGGGAAAGTGAAATGATAGTTAAGATATATGTTAGCCCTGGCCTGGTAGGTCAGTTGTTTAGAGCATTATCCCGATACAGTAGGTTCCATCCCTAGTAAGTACACATACAAGAATCAACCAATGAATGAATAAATAAGTGGAACAACAAATCGATGTTCTTCTCTCTCCTTCCCTATCCCCCTCCCTCCCTCCTTTTCTCTCCCTTCCTTTCTCTCTAAGCTAAAAAAATTTTTTAAACCATATGTTAAATTTGGTTTAATTTTATATAAGACTTTAAGAGATCTCACCAATTAAAGAAAAGTACTTATTTTATTCTGTAAAATATTTTGAAATAACTGACTAGAAATTTGAAATAATAAACCCTTGCTTTACTATAAACAGTAAAAAAAAGAAAAAAGGACGTACAGACAAATTGATTAGAGGGGATCAAAACAGACTGAGAAAAACATTTGTGGGACTGTTGTTTTTATTTTTGGAGAGTGTGGGGGGACTGTTTTAAAAAAAGAGCAAATTAAGACCTGCATAAATAAAAGACAGAAAAAAACCCAAAATATTCACAAGAGGAAATGTAGGTGGTAAATATATTACTGCTAAAGTCATTGCACATTTATATAATTACAGAATTCCTTTTGGGCTTTTAAATGGGATCTTTTAAAAGTTGAGACAAAAATACCCAACGCAGGCAAAGGTGTGGCACATTCATAAATCCTGATGGTGGTTAATTTTGTGTAGCTACCAGGCACTTATAAAATATAAGTTTAAGAACTTTACACATTAGGTGACCTTGTCCCCATCTTCCAGACGAGGAAGCTGCAGATCAGAGAAGTTATGAACCTGCCTGTGGTCACACAGCTGGTCATGGCAGTGTGTAAGCCCTGGCCTCTCGTGAGGAGGCCATGCTCTATCTGCCATGCTTCACCACTCCTCAGAATGGTACAGTTGTTTTAAAAAGTACTTTGACAATCTATAAAAATGCTCATAGCCTTTACGTAAATAATTCTTTTTGTTTATCTGCTGAGGAGATAATTCAGTGTATGGTAAAGGCTGCATGCCCCAAAATATCGATCTCAATGATTGATAATATTGAAAATTCATCATCAACCTCAGTTGTCAATAAAAAATTAATTAATTATGACATACATACTCACATTTTATAACTGTTAAAAATGCAGCAACACGGGAAACGTGTATGGTTTTCATTTATTATGTGAAGTTACATGTGTTCTGTAGCTACAGCTAGGCAATTCATTGTATATGAAAAGTGTAAGATGTAATAGTTATGATCTAGTAATGAATGATCTAGTGGTGAATGATGATATTTTTCTCTTTCTGTAATTAAAAAATTAAATATCTGTGGACATTTAGATCTTGGAATGAGAATTAAAGTAACTATGGAACAAAGGCAGAATGCAAATATGTTTCTATGTATGATGACAACCATAGTACTTAAAAGCAAAACACTTAGCAGCTTTTTAAAGTTAATTTTTATTGATGTATCATATATACAAATATAAGTACCCAGATCATAAGAATACAGCTCAATGAATTTTCACAATTACCAATTCCACTCAGAACAAGAAAAAAAAACATTTCCCGGTCTCCAAAAACCCCCCTTGTGTCCCATCCTGGTGGCCCCCACCCCTGCATCCGAGGCATAGATTTTAAATGGCACTGGAGTCCACGAAAATGTTAACAAATCCTGTGTTTACCTGGTTAGAACCACGAGTGACTTTTGTTTTCTGTTTTTCTCTGTTTTTTAATCTTCCTACTCCATGATTATGAATTATACTGTATGTTACTCTAAATTTCATTTATGACCTAATGTCCAACTATTAAGTCATGAATTGATCCTTGCATTTAGTCACATGGAATTCCTCCTTTGAAATGGCCTTTGCTATTTGAATTTAGGAATAGGGCCATCGCCTTTGTTCCTTCTGTGATAGAATAAGAAATAGGGGTTATAGATCGGAAATAATTCTCCCATCTGTGTTACAAATCTCTTCTGTTACAGGGCAGCCCTTGGGTACTAACTGTAAGTCTGTGTATTAGGACTCTTCCTTTTGAGGCTTAAAATTTAAGCAAAGGTAAAAGCAAACATTGTCTTCTGTTCCTCTTTCCCTGTCATCCCGGTCCACGCTTCACTGTTCCCCTTCTCCATCCAAAGGGAGCTGGCCTGAGCCTTCACCAGAGTTAGACCACGCTGCTGGCTTTGTCACAGCACAGCAAGAAAAGCAACAAAACCGGTAGAATGATGGAGGAAACCTAGACACCTCACCCGTTTCTACCACAGGGGTTCACGTGCTGGCCATGCTGTTAGGATGACATTAAGCCTTGGTGCTGTCACCTCATAAAGAGGCTGTTCCTTTGTGTCTCCACTGTGGAGAAGCAGAAAGAAGCCGATGAGACGGGCTCACTCACAGAGAGGAGGTTTATTTCTCCTCTCCCTCCTCTAAAGCCAGCTGGAGGTTTGAGGGGCTAGACATCTAAAATAGTTATTTTGTCCAGTGCTTGAGATTCAGAATAGGTATTGCCCTTCACACTGGGGAACCAGAGAACAGCCCCTGACAGCAGGCGTGGTTATCGGCAGGAGAAATTAAAAGGACAAGTTGGAGATTTCCAGTGGAATTGTAAGTGCACAGTATTTTAAATGGCAGCAATTCCACTTCCAGGAGTTTATCCCACAGACACACTCATTCTTATGCCCAGTGACACAGAGCAGGAACATCACTGCAACATTGTTCCCGGCAGTAAAAGAAGGACACAACCTAACGCCTGCAGGAGGGAGTCTGGGTGTTACTGTACATCAAGCATGTCAAACTCAAAGGCTAACACGGGCCAGATAAGCAAGGTTTAAGTTTATGTGGGCCCAAAAAACAAAAGCTTCAATTTTCATAGAAACCTAGGTTTATTTTGATAGAGACATGCTGAATACAAAGGGCTGAAATAGAACATTTTAATAAAAATTAATATTTTTTCTTGAACATTAACTTACCAGACACTGAATAACTGCACAAACTAATAAGCGTAACGCAAATAAACCTATTTTTCTTGTTCTCCAAAAGTGAAATATTTCCTGTTGTGCACACCAAACAAGTCAGTCCAAGACTAATGATGTGGCCAGCTGCTAAAATATTTGCTGCTAGTATTAGTGGAGAGAAATGGTGCGCCTGCATGTAAGGCGTGTAAGGAAAATGAATGCAACACGATTATAGTAATCAGTCATTAGCAAACATTGTAGTTCATTATTAATAACTAGAGAACCGGTCCACAAAATTAGTGCATGGGTAGGGCCCCTAGGCCTGGTCGGTGACCAGGGCCGATTGGGGCCTTCCTTTGTTCCATGCTGCCCCCTGGTGATCAGCACACATCATAGCAAGCGATTGGTCTCCCCGTCAAACTCCCACAGGGACAGTTTGCATATTAGGCTTTTATATATAGAGATTATGTATAACAGGATATTGTAAAAATTAAGTTACGAAATTTTTATTGAAACGTTTCTTACATACCGTTATATTGGCTGGGCCACAAAAATATTCGTTGCGGGCTGTGAGTTTGACACGCTTGCTGTGCATCCATGCATTAGAATAGCATACAACCTCAAGAAAATGACACTGTTGGTTATCTTGGAGGAAGGACACATATTTTTCATTGTTTATATAGTTTGAGATTCTTATAATGTGTAACTCTTAAAAGTATACATTTTATACTTTTTTAAAAATGTTAAGTTACCTTGAATGACTGGCAAAACAGAACTAACTCAGAGTAGGGGATGGTATTTATACAGGTAGAAATTAGAGAACTTAGAAAATTTCTTTGTAAAATTACAAGTCTTTCAAAACGAAAGTTGGATTAGAAATCTAAAAAGTGAATATTTCAGAGAATGTTAAATTTCTTGGGTCCGATAATGGTGTGGTTATGTAGGGAGATATCCTCATTCGAAGGAGATACACACTGAAACATTCAGGTATGAAGTGTCAGTGTTTACAACTTACTCTCAGAATGTTCAGCAACAAGTGTGTGAGTGTGTGCGCACGTTGACAGAGAGAAAAAGGAAAGTGGCAAAACGTTAACAACTGTTGAATCCCGGAGAAGGATGTGTGAAGGTTTGTTTTGCTAGTCTCTTAACATTTCTATAAAGTTGACATTTTTCAAAATTGAAAGTTGGGGAAAAAGAAAAGATTTTTTAAAACCAAAGAGCTTCTGAAAAGCAAAGCAATGACAAAACACTTACGAAAGAAATCAGTTACAAAAGTCAGTCTTTATCTCTCCATGTCTTCAGCCAACTAAGCAGAAATGGCTTCTGCAGCTGCAGTCGTTGGAGGCTTGAGCTCCAGAACATTTTATGCAGGATGCCGGCTAGCTGGGCTAGTTCAGAACCTGGAAGTACAGAGAGTAACCTTTCCTTTAAGAGATGCATGTAAGAAGAGACCTCTTTCTCTTCTCTTTCCTCTCCAGTTCCGAGAGAAGCCCGTGCAGTAGTTCATTGCTGCGTGACAGCAGGAGACCCGTCAGCCTGATTGGCCAGGAGGTGATTCTCGCCTTCTTTCTCCTGCTCTTGTTGGTCTGGTTCCTGAATCGAGAATTCGAAGTCAGCTACCGCCTTCACTACCACGGGGACGTGGAGGCGGACCTTCACCGCACCAAGATCCAGAGCATGAGGGACCAGGCAGACTGGCTGCTGAGGAACATCATCCCCTACCATGTGGCTGAGCAGCTGAAGGTTTCCCAGACCTACTCCAAGAACCACGACAACGGGGGGGTCATCTTTGCCAGCATCGTCAACTTCAGTGAGTTCTACGAGGAGAACTACGAGGGAGGCAAGGAGTGCTACCGGGTCCTCAACGAGCTGATCGGGGACTTTGACGAACTCCTGAGCAAGCCGGACTACAGCAGCATTGAGAAGATTAAGACCATTGGGGCCACGTACATGGCTGCATCGGGGCTGAATGCCACACAGTGCCAGGATGGCAGCCACCCACAGGAACACCTGCAGATTCTGTTTGAGTTTGCCAAGGAGATGATGCGCGTGGTGGATGACTTCAACAACAACATGCTGTGGTTCAACTTTAAGCTCCGCGTCGGCTTCAACCATGGACCCCTGACAGCGGGGGTCATCGGCACGACCAAGCTGCTGTACGACATCTGGGGAGACACCGTCAACATCGCCAGCAGGATGGACACCACGGGAGTGGAGTGCCGCATCCAGGTGAGTGAAGAAAGCTACCGTGTCCTCAGCAAGATGGGCTACGACTTTGACTACAGGGGCACGGTGAATGTCAAGGGCAAAGGTCAGATGAAGACCTACCTTTACCCAAAGTGCACAGACAATGGGGTCGTGCCTCAGCACCAGCTGTCCATCTCCCCAGACATCCGAGTCCAGGTGGATGGCAGCATCGGGCGGTCTCCCACAGACGAGATTGCCAACCTGGTGCCTTCTGTACAGAACTTGGACAAGCCATCTCTGGGTTCCGAGAATAACACACAGGCCAAGGACCCTCACCTGTCTTCTAAGAGACCCTGGAAAGAGCCTGTCAAAGCTGAAGAAAGGTGTCGATTTGGCAAAGCCATAGAAAAAAGTGACTGTGAAGACACGGGGGTGGAGGAAGCCAATGAACTCACCAAGCTCAACGTCTGCAAGAGTGTGTGACGCAGCACCTGACCGCTGCCCACGGTGCTCTGTTCCTCGAAACACAATAATATTTGTATTTGGCTGTTGTGCGCTCCAAGCGCCACAGTTTCCATCCCCGGGCGTGGCGTCACGTGGTCATCGCAGCCCTAACTTCTGTGTAGATCACAGTTATTCAGGGTTCATTTCCATCCATTTCGTTCCCTTTCTCCCCCGGAACGCTGTCCCCTGGGTGTAACCGTTCAGCAGCGTGGAGAACAAGTGCCTTCAGGAGATGGCTGTGGCTTCAGAGTCGAGGGACAGAGACCACAGGGTAGAGGTCACGGCATTGGGTATTGTTGGACTTTAAGACAAAAGCTGTGGTTAAGATACCGTTTTTATTGCTTTTTCTCACGAGATACTTTTCTTTGCTAATGCCACGTTTTTGAGGTTTGTTTTTCTCTACATACTGAATAGTGTTTTCCAGTGACCTGACCCTTCTCTGTAAATACATACACGCACACACACTTGCATTTACGAATCTGAGCTCAAGTGCCAGTAGCTCACCGAGGGGAGGTCAAGGAAGGCGGTGTGGGCTGAGAGCAGCGGCCAGCCGGACGGACGGCCTGGCGCCCCTCCCTCCCTGCGCCTTCCAGAGCGCCCGGCCCTTGTGGGCTGCGGGTGCCCCGCTCCCCATACCTCCACACGCAGGCCAGGGTTCCAAATGCTAGCCCGTAACTAAGCTGGGGAAGCCAGGCCTCAGGAATTTACAAGCTGTTTTCGTTCTGCCCTCATGCCGTGCCGAGGGGTCTTCCAGCAGGGAGTGAAGGGGTTTGTCCTTGAGGCTGACTCGTCTGAGAGGAAAACGAAAATAAATGCCCAAGGGTTGCATTTATTTATTTATTTATTTATCAGGAAATGTGTTTTCAGGGAGGGGATGCCAGGCCGTTGTGCTGAAGGCACACAGCGGAGGGTGAGACGCTGTCTGTTCGTGCTTTAGCCTCTTTGTCCACCCGCCCTGCAAGGGGGCCAGGCAGGACCCAGGGGCATGGCCCGCGCTCAGGTCAGAGAAGCTCTCCGTCGCCACGTTTTACACCGAGTGCCGCTCCTTCTGCCCTGCGTGACGCGGGGCGGGTAGGAACCGGCGGGGTATGAAGCCCGGGGTCTGGGCAGAGCGCGGGGGCAGCAGGCAGTGCGGGCACTGTCCTGGCCTTCACCCATTCAAGAAGTTTCTCTATCCTTCCCACTGCCAGCCTGTGCTGGGCCTGTTTGGGGCAGGACTGGGCCTGGTGAATGAAGGCCAGCCCTCTCCAGATGGAGGTCTTGCACTGTAGACTGGGGCAGAATCGTCTGGACGCAAATGGGGTGTTAATCCAGGACAGTGTAGAAAACACTTCTGGGCCCTTTGTGGCCAATCCTCCTTGTAATTACATTTTGCCACATGAAGTCTGAACTTTATGTAGAACTGAACTCGGGCTACAGTTGCCTTGTCATAGTCATAGTCATTGATAAGGTGACACTGGCACACGGCTCCTGGGATCATTTGAGAACTAGCTCCTTCTCTGTTTAAGGTCTTCACCGACATGCCCTGTGCATTTGCTTCTCACCGGTAAATCTGTGTAATTTCACGGCTGCGTTAAGTTATCACTCCTCCTCCCCAAATTTGTACAGAATCTGCCATTTCCAGCATCATGACCTATTGATTCTGATCAGCCATCTCCCCAGGGGACAGCCACCGGCTGTTCAGCCATAGCCAGGACCACGCCATCCTGGGGAACTGAGCATGCTCAGTAACTACGATCTTCCTTCAGGTTTCACTGTCACTTTGTTGTTCTTCCAGTGCCGGAGAAAGGATGGTTGTGACAATACCTCTTGCTTCTAAAGAATGTATTCTTATAAAATATTGCAGAATTTTTATTTTTATTTTTATTTAAAAAAACACTACCTAATGCTCTCCTTGTCTGTAAGGATTGTGGGCGTGTTCGGGGTTTCTTCCATCCGTATTCAGGCGTGTGTGTGAGTGCGGCTCTGTTCCTTTGCCTGCTCGCTTCAGGCTCTGGAGCTGTGGCGGCACCTAAGGGGCTGGGCGGTTGCCTACTTGTTACCAGTGTCTCTGTTGTTGCGCCCAAAACGTACTCTGCAAAGTTCATCTCTGCACCCACTTCCTTCCTATCAAACTCTTTTTCCCCTTCCCCACCTACAAAGGTGTTTATGATTCCTGGCCCTGGGAATCCAAGAGGCTGCAAACCACCGGGAGAGAGTCAGACCGCATGGTGGTCCGGTTCAGCACTGTGCAAACCGGAGCCTTTGATGGACAGCTCACCCTGAGCCTTCCCAAACAGCCAGTTCAGATGTGCTCTCTAGTCCTTCCCAGTTCCCTGCTCTGAAGCATACCTCATCACGGAGCCACAGAATCCCTGCAGCGGAACTGCTGTGTGTCTCACCGAGTTGGCATTGAACAGATAGTTGCTGAAGACAGATGGGTTTCCAAGCAGCAGGTTCAAGCACTCCCGGCACGAGGATGCATTCTTCAGAGTGGCAATACCTCTCCTGAACTTAGGGCAGGAAGCAATACTTCAGAAATGAATGTGTGTAAATAGTTGCTTTGAGTTGCAATTGCTATTTTCTTCTTGGCCCCAGGTCAGATCAAATTATATATATGTATAAACAAGCACATAATTTTATCCAATGCAAACAAATGTAGAGCATCAGTTATTAAACCCTTAAGTAGCTTGAAGAGTCGCACAGATTATGCAACACCTGCACACGACTCCGTTAACACTGACTTCGCTTGTGGAGGCACCTGCACATTTGCACATGACACTGAGAGCCAAGGGCCACGTGCTCCCGTGACATGGTCTGTAATAATCTGTAGTTTCCAAAGATCGGTCTGCGTTTGCATTTCTAAATTTTTGAGGTAAACATTTTTTTGGTTGGTGGTTTCAGAAAATCACATGCCTGGAATCTGAAATTAAATTAGCAAGGACCAACTGTTTGCGTTTTCCACCTTTCCTTTGCTTTATTCTTGGTAAATTGTTAATTTTAATAATTTCAAAATGCATCCACTAAAGAAATGGACATTAAAATATTCTAAAATCTAAATATGTGATGCCTGGTATTCTCATTGGAAAGGTCAGTACTACTTCAGAGATTGGGGCACCCCTTGTCTCCTGCAATTTGTGGCTTGAAATAGGAAGATTTGCTTTTCTTTTGCATCATGACTTTGAAAACAAGGCAACTAAAAAAAATCCCTATGTGTCCTGTGGGGTTTTTTTATGGACATATTTGCTACAGTTAACTTTGGTTGAAAAGTATTTATTTTTACATGGAATTTTAAAAACATACACACACACACAGAAAAGCAGGTTGTAGGACTAATTTTGCTTGTGATGACAACCCCATTTTATTGGGCCTTCTAATCGTTTTTTCCTGCATTATCTTAAGAGAAGGGATTGACTAGGAAAGGACAGTAGCCTCTCCCTTGAAGAGTTCCTGGGGGTGCCCGTACCACAGGGAAGTCACAAAACCACTTCAGAATCTGAAGTCCCAGAGACTTTCCCCAGAAAAACACACATGCCATTTATACATCTCAGGGGTTCACGGCACCTCCAACTCGAGCCAAACAGAACCTGCTGGGGTTGAGGCTCTTGTCGACTCGGTGAGAGGAGATGAAGACGTGGGCCTGTCCGTCCTTGCGCATCAGCTTGCAGGGATCAAGCTTCTAGGTGAGTCTGCTGGAACCTGGTGCCAGTGAGGACACTACTCCTTGGTGAGGACACTCCTTCCCCCTGAAGCTGCTGCAGGCTTCCCTCGGAGCCTTGCAGAGCTTAGGGAGCCACGGTCTTCGCTGCCTGGAGGTCTAGAACCTGGGTCTCTTCCACGAGAAACAGCGTCCAGGAACGTAAAGGACTTCTCACACAGTCCAGAAAGACAGCCTCTAATGTTTGCAATGAGTCTCAAAACTTAGCCTTTGTGATTTCTCTTGTGTTTAAAAGCTCTTCACACGTGGTTCTGTTGTGGGAATCCGTCATTGTGGCCACCTGGAATAAGTCCCAAGTTCCAGGAAAAGGAAGCTAACTGGGGAAAGAGATCAATGAGAGGAAGTGATTAAGAAAAAGTATGCACTTGCACACCATATACATGTAAATTTAAAATCTCCCCAAGTGTCTATTTTTATACAGTTCCTTTGCAAAAAAAGAAAATGGTTTTTTTTTAATAACATGACTTCAAAGAATTGTTACTGTTATTAGAGTAATTTAAGCTTGGGGAATTCTCATATTCCTGCTGGGCCTGAAAGTCGGAAGGAGAAGTGAATTAAGCAATCATCTATTGAGCAATCTGAGTGCCTCCTGAAATCTGTCATCAACAGCATCTATTCTTAACCTTTTCTCTGGCTCACAAAGCCTTTGATAATTTGATGAAGGTTGTGGCTCCTTTCTCCAGAAAACGCACATAAAAATAAGCCCTCTTAATGTTGCATACAATTTCAGGAGTTCCTGGAAATAAATAAAATACCCCTGATTTGAAATAACTAGAGGAATGATGGTTTTTAATTATAGCTATCTGCAAATCCGGTTTCTAGGCATTTATGGACTCTCCATTGGGAACTTGATTAAAAGTGTTAATGCTGCTTATTTATACATGCGTTTCCAATCAAAACTATATTTTACATTTTATGTCTGAGTTACCTAAATATATTTGAAGAGCTACTCAAAGAGCTTTTCAATATATAAACATAAAGTTAGTCAAATACTTTCCAACAGTTAAGTAACATTCAGCCAGTATTTACTGACAACCTACTATGTGCCCTATAATGCCAAAGCTCCCTTTATTTAGGTTGTTCAATTTGCTGCAGTACTTGAGAATATTTGAGTAACAGCTGTGATTAGAAACTGTGCTTTTCATGATGGCTCTACCACTATGAATTCCACCAGTAAACTGAAGGGGAGTTCCAGACACCTGGGGTCACATGGTGACATCCCTTTCCGTATTGACAGTATTAAACAGTGGCTCCTTAGTATCTTCTGTAAACCATTAGATTACTTTTGTGTTTATGGTCTATGGATTGCTTAGCCTCTCAAGAAGGAGCAACAGATGAGAAACCTTCAGAGAAAACAACGACACCAATATTGTGTTGGATCCACAATGAGAGAGGGGCCACTCCACATGCTACTCATAAGGTCATGCATTTTGTTTTAAAACAATCCTCTCCTGATGGCAATTCGGTCCCAACGTGAGGGGCTCAGAGCTGGATGGAGGAAGCGCTGGCGTGGACTGATTTGGCTGGTGGCAGCCTTTCAGGAATAACCACCAGGGAAGCGTGTTCCGCTCTCTGAGGAGCATGGTGGGTGGAAGTCTCTGCCAACCCCATCTCCACCCTATGCCTGGTCGTGAGGCGAGGCAGCCCAGCGTCCAGCAGTCTTTTGAAAGGATTGCTCTTTCCCCGTCTTCCTCTGACCTTCTTGATCTCAGAAAAGTCTTGCCTTCTAGGTTGGAGGGTGAGGAATGGTATCAGGAAAGAGGAGTTATTTGGAAACTTGTCCATGTGATTCTGGGAAAAGGAAGCAGAATGGGAAAAGGGAGTGATGACGACTTGTAGACTCTGCTTGGACTCCCCTGGGCATAGACACCCTGTGCCTGAGGCAAACTTCAGTGGCTCACCATGCCCTTCCTTCTTGGGACTGGATCTCATTCTCCCCAGCTTCTGAGGTCTCCCAGACTGACCTCTGGAAGTCTTCTCACCATGGCGCAGCCCTACCCAGTTCTGTCTGTGTGTGTCATGGGTGGCCATTCCTCTCCAAGGACATGTGTCCCCACCCCCATTCCCATCATCTTTGACCTCCCAAGTAGGTTTCAGTGCCATGCCATCCTCATTCCCCAACTTCAGGAATATAGATTCAACTACAGCAACATGATTTAGCAGACACTTTATTTATTTAAGGAAAGTAATTCCTTCTCACATATGCAAATATGCCTCTATATGTAAATTCAGCTCTCACATATGCAAATATGCTTCTATATGTAAAGTAGTCTCTCATTATATGATGCATTCCCACCAAGGAACTCAAAAAGCCTGGAATCCCTTTTATCCCCATGATGCCTCATCCAAGTGGGTAGGCAGGGGTGTTTTCTCTGTACAACAGATTTGAAAGCTCAGGTTCAGAGCTGCTCAGTGGCTTGCCCAGGTTCAGCTTGTTGTCCGCCATTTCCAGTTACACGGCCAGAAAACAGAGCATGCTGCAAATCCAAGTGATATAACTTCTTGGCCTCCCCCTTCCTGTGCCAGGAAAGAACAAAGAATCCAGGTGGTGGAATGGGACATTGTGCATTTAAATGGTGAAAGTACCCAGGAGTCAGCAAGTGGCCGACAAGGTACAATACGTCTTCCCTTGTCTCCCTCTACTCTTCTTTCTGTCAGACTGGCTACTTGAATTACGTGTCAGATATTTAAATTATTATCTAATGTATGCTTGGAATGGAGAAGTTTTAAAATTATTCAAGTGTCCATGTGCTAACAAAGACCATCAGGGAAGAGGCAAAGTTTGCAACACGCTGGTGCCTTCAGAAAGATTAGTGTAAAACACAGATTATTTTGGTGTCCTGTGCTACCTTCCAATTTAACAGCAATAGATCATGTACCTTTAGCACAAAATTGTTTTTTCTAACTATTTATTGCACAATAATTTTTTATTATAATGTTAGATCATTTTAAAAATACCTTATCATATATCTATACATCTCCAATATTTCAGGAACATATTAGAGAAAGGGAACGAAAAAACAAATATCACTTGGCCTTTAACTTGAAATAGCATAGAACATAATTTGTAATTTTGACACCAATTTGGAGCTCTTGGATAAAAAAAAACAACAGACTGTTGACTGTTTACAGAGGACTGAGAACACCAAGAGTTTACTTTTTAGAAGCAAGCTTTGTAACATGGTGTGTTGATGGAACTTTTCTTGGGTAATTTTGTTTGGCCAGGATGACATCTCTTCTTCCTCAAGAATAAAGGCTTCTGGTGGTATCACAGCTACATTTAGAGTATTCATTTAGCACAGAAGAATATGGCTGAATATTGCCCTCGTTCTCCTGCTTATATTAATTGCATGACAAGTTGTACTTTCCAAAATCTTCAGTCAAGGACTTCCATAGACTTCTCACCCTAACCTACCGTGACACTGGGAGAATGTTCAGATTTGTTTGTATGTTTTTTAATATTGAAGAATGTTATTTATATGAACTTTCAGGAAATTAATACAATAAAGCCTAAGAAGATACGGTAAAACTATTTTTAAAAAGAGATTGGAAGCAGTTATGCAGATAATTGAGGGTAAAAGCATCCTTTTTCCTAAAATGTTTCAAATGGGTCAACATTTATTGAACGAATTTCTTGCATGAATCACATGGATAGTGATTCAAATTCTTCCATTTCTTATGTAGCCAATACAGTGGGCCGCTTCAGCCCTTTCAGAATCTTATTTCCAAATTTCCTCTTCTTCAACTGTCCATTTTGTTGGCAGAATTACAATAGGCTCAGACCTGCATGCTTTGAGAGAAAACTGAGTGTGAGCTCATGAACTAGCCATTCAACAGTTTCCAGAACTCCAAGGGTTTGTCTGTGCTCCTGACAGGTGGCTTCTGTCACCACCACAAACCCAAGACCTGGTCCACCTGTGCCCGTAGCAACGGCCCCATGGATGACTTGGAGCAGGAACTCTGCCAGTGCCGGGAGAGTGTCCGCCGTGCGTGAGACCGGCTGGCAGAGCGGAGGAGACTGGCTCTGCAGGTCCTCGGGAGGTGAGAAAGCAGCCTCCACGCCCCAGCACGGTGCCAACCCTCCTGCTGCCGCTCTGGCTCCTTGGTGAACAGTGATGACCTCATGTTCTGCTTGTAACACTTTTCCTGGTCTGTACCTCATGCACTGGCCCGGCTTGAGATGCTTCAGGACCTGGGCACCCACCACCCTTCGGAAAATCATCTGCATGCCCCAGTGGTGAACTGGGCATTGTGGGCCCGATTCGGGCTTAGAAAGAGGATCTTCATGCCTCAGCTCCTGGGCTGGCCCAGCAGCAGGGAACCAGACTCTCAGGCCTGCATGGAACCCATAGCAACCCCAGCCAGTCTCACCAATGGTTCTGGGGTCCCAAGCTGTCTTTGGACTTGGGGGAGTGCAGGGACAGAGCAGAGGACCAGCTGGGGATCCCGGAAAAGTGGGTGTCAAGGAAGTGCAGTTCACCAACATCCGGTGCAGCCGTGCTGGGCTCCCAGGCAGCCTTTAGCCACCTCTGCGCCCCTCAAGTGCCGCAGCTGCCGGCGCCATAAGCCATTAGTTGGGGGGTGCCAGCAGGGCCTCCTGGTGCACCCTCCTCACACGACAGCATTGAACCGAAGCACCAATAACCCACGGATGAGCACCGAGCGAAAAACCCAAAGCCTTAACATCCTCTCGGGAATCCTGTGTCAGTTGCACCATTTGTAACAGGCGGCATTCTAGGATGTAACGTCCCTGAGATGATCTATTTACTAAAAGCAGCTTCCACTGTCTCAATCCGTGCAGTCATCCTCATTCCAAAACCGATTCTAGGAGGCGCTCCAGCGGCGGTGTAACCCGACCCGACCCGGTCACAGTCACGGTCACGGTCACGGCGCCCCAGCCAGCCCCGCCTCTCCCGTCACGGAGCAAGTTTCCGTGATTCATGGGGTAGAATCACTGTCAAGAGGCAACGCGGTCTGTTCCAGCCGCCTTTTGACTTGTGGGTGGTTTATGTTCTATCCTAACACTGACCTTCTCTCACACACCCCGACTCGGGCTCCCTGTGCATGGGCACTGAATCCGGCTCGTCATGAAATACAGAAAGAAATCATGGGACATTTTCATCATCTTTCCATTCCGAAGCATGGGTGGTTTTCTTTTCTCATCAGTGTATGTCCTAGACCTAGACACTGCTTGTGGGTCTCTCTTTCCTCCCCTCCAACCTTCTACTCATCTGCACTTTCCTGTCTTCTCTTTCCCAGAAGATAAAAACACTGCGAGAGGGGCCTGACGTTTCCTTTCAGTTGGAAAGGAGCCGAATTGTAAATAAAAAAAATAAGAAACTGTTTATGGTTGGTCAACAACCAAACCCAGGAAGAACTGTATCTGTGAGATATACATATGTCTCTCTCTATAGATAAAAGCACATTATCTTTCATTCACTACTACAGACTTGTAACCTATTGTATATTAAAATGTTTTACTGTATCAGAGAAAACTTTATGCGGTAGACCGAGAAAAGCTGTGGGGGGAAAAATTCAAAATATAGTATAATTGACTCAAATGTTGTTGTCTGTCTATTCTGGGCTTGGCACAATTTCAAGGGAAAAAATGTACTCGCTATAAATTAACCAGAAAACTAATTTATCTGTAAGGTTTCAGAAACTGCTTTTTAACACAGCACCGATCCACAGAGCCTACCCACGTGTGTGCTCTGTGCAGTCCACATGGGCCGAAAGCTGGTCGCTGCATTTTAATCCAGATGCAGGCGCTGCAGGGAGAAGGTGCTGCAGCCCTAGATCTAGCCCGGCCTCCACGGGGCCACGGGCAGCTCCCCTTAGCTTGAGTAGAGGCGTCCAGGGCAACACACGGTGCAGCTGCAAGTTTCCAAGGCCTTGAATGCCACTCTTGGGATTGGAAGTTTCAGTGGCCCCTTTCCCCCAGCAGGAACGTACGCAGACAGGAAAATAAAGAAAGAGCAGAGAAGTGCCCTCCCCTGGAGGGTCCCTGTCCCGGAGCAGAACGAGGAAATGAGGCCTCTGCAGTCAGCAGTGCAGGTGGATGCACTGCTCTATCCCAGGTCTGGTGCCAGCTCTCACTTCCCTGGAGTTGGTTCAACACTGAGCTGAGCTCACAGACCGGAGGGAACCAACACTTGTTTTCTTTGGACTGCTTTGAGCAAAAATAGAAGAAAGGAGCTCATTTTTTCCCAAAGATTTTTGGGGCAATCCAATAGTACAGATCCAAAGTCAGTAAGTATTCGCTGGCCCAGTTTCCCTGTCTTTTAAGATACAAGTGTGACTTCCAGTTCCTGGACTGTGAGAATATGCTGAAACCGAGCCCACAAGTTTAGCACCAGGAGTCAGCGCGCACTCTGCGTGGTTGGGTGAGACTTCCTGTAGGGAGTGTTCCGGGTGCAGTTCTTCACTCTGCGTTTGGCTTTTTTAGCAGGTGTTAGGTAAACAGGTGTGCGAAGCTGGTCAGCAAACCCAAGACGAAGAGGAGCTCCGCTCCACTTGGGAGGAGATTGGACGTTTTTAATTTTGTCGTTTTTTTTTTTTAATTCAGCCCAACTATCTAGAAAAAAAGACATTCTTGCTCTCCTAGCCACTGAGCGATGTGCAGGGAAGTGAGGAGGAAGGTCATTTGATGTGCAAATGCCCTGATGGTCATATTTTCTTTTGTCCATGAAGGAAACGTTGTTCACCTCCTCCTTTTTCCAGTCATCAAGCTCATGTGAAAATAAGAAAGCATCTCTTTAAATACAGTCATGGCCTGGAAGGGCCCCCTTTGCAGCCCAGTGGCTCTCCTGAGATTGAATCGTCATCCCAGGTGGGCCCTGGGACCTGCCCCGTGTGATTGGAGACATCACGTCCTTTTGTAAAACAAGAGAGTATCTTGTATAATAAACTCCTATAGCCAAAGGGATCTGTGAGCAAATGTTAAAACTCGAGGATATCATTCTCAGTTTTTAGTTTTGATTTACCAATTGGTTTTTCCAAAGGGCTTCCCCCCGCCCCCCAATTAAATTAGTCACTCTGGTACTGTTGTGAGGCGGTCGTTTAATTTCATGGCTTTCATAAGTTTACAGGAACATAAAAATGTGATGCCCATGAAATTCATTACAATTCTCCATTATCTTGTGGATTTAGTGCCCATCTGTCTTGCATATGTTTCAGCAGTGGCTTACAATGGCCCTTGCCATACAGTGGCCATATGCCTGTTTACTACGCACATGTGGAAACGTGCATGCATCTAGGCCAGCAGTTCTCAACCTTTTCCATTGCATGGCAACATAAACTAATTATTAAAATTTTGCGGCACACCAAAAAATATATCTTTTTGCTGTTATGACAAAAAGAATAGGTATAATTTTTAATCATTCATACCAGAGGGCTATTGTTGTGTTGGCTGTTGTCTTTTTTCTTCCTTTTCTTTCTTTCTTTTTTTTTTTCTTTCTTTTTTTTTTTTGACAATCTAAGACAGGGGTCCTCAAACTTTTTAAACAGGGGGCCAGTTCACTGTCCCTCAGACCGTTGGAGGGCCGGACTATAGTTTAAAAAAAAACTATGAACAAATTCCTATGCACACTGCACATATCTTATTTTGAAGTAAAAAAACAAAACGGGAACAAATACAATATTTGTATTTGCATGTGGCCCACGGGCCGTAGTTTGAGGACCCCTGATCTAAGGGAAAGGAGGTCAACCACACACACTGGTTGAAAAGCTCTGATCTAGACCCACGACTAGTGGTAAACTAAGGCTGTCTCTGACTAGGATTCTAAACCCCCATGAAGGAAAGTCCCCCCAGAAAAGCACACAAACATTGGTGTATTCGTGAGAATAGATTTAGAAACAGTCCTTCCAGCCCAGCAAATGTCATTTTGTTTCTGTCTGCTCACTCTTTCATTTGCAATAAACCTGACAAAAATTTCCAGAATGAAAATGTGCATATTTGGAGGAAACGTTGGCAGGCAGCCACAGACGCAAAAGATGCAAGCTAATTTTGCTCTTGTTTTTCTGCCAGTAACTGCTTGGCGGCCCACACTCCAGAGCCCCAGCGGGGATTCTGATGGGTCAGGTGCACACAGGCCATGGAGAAGGTGATAGGTCAGTGGTTCTCCACCTTCCTAATGCTGCGACCCTTTAATACAGTTCCTCATGTTTGGTGACCCCAAACCATAAAATTATTTTCGTTGCTACTTCATAACTGTAATTTTGCTACTGTTATGAATCATAATGTAAATATCTGATATGCAGGATGTATTTTCATTGTTACAAATTGAACATAATTAAAGCATAGTGATTAACCACAAAAACAATATGTAATTATACATGTGTTTTCCGATGGTCTTAGGCGACCCCTGTGAAAGGGTCGTTCGACCCCCAAAGGGGTCGCGACCCACAGGTTGAGAACCGCTGTGATAGGTCATAGCAAAGTGAACTTCTCTGCTCTTGAACACTGTTTAGCCTCATTGCCCCACCTCTCAGTCCATAGAGATGGGGCAGTCCCACTGTCTTGGACGGTCAACTCGCTCAGCTCGTCTGTTACACAAAGAACGTGGACCTTATGCATTACACCAATGCAATGAAATCCATTTAAATCTGGTGTAACCAACCTTCCTCCGCAGTCAGAGGGATCCTTCGCTTCACCAAGGAAGGAGAGGAGGGAGGGAGGGGGGAGGAAGGAAGGAAAAGGCAGACAGGCAAAGCCTTTACTACTTCTAGATCATGTTCTCAGATCCTATCTCCTACAATAAGCTCCCTTCCTCTGACAACACAGAAGAGCTGAAGTTCTATACCTTGTTCCCAGGGTATGGGCTTCCCCACAGAGTTTTTAGCTGAACCATGAAAGCAGGGAGTTTGGTTCCTTCCCTTCAGGCTGGGGAGGTGGGTAGCAAACCACCCTTTTGATTCGGGGGTGGGTGGGAGTGTCCTGATTTTCTGAAATGAGGAACAAGACTAACTTGGACCCAGCCAGCGTGTCTCAGTGGTTGAGGGTTGACCTATAAACCAGGGGGTCACAGTTCAATTCCCAGTCAGAGCACATGCCCGGGTTGTGGGCTCAGTCCCCAGTCGGGGACGTGCAGGAGGCAGTCAATCAATGATTTCTTTCTCATCATTGATGTTTCTATCTCTCTCTTCCTCTTCCTTCCTCTCTAAAATCAATAAAAATATATTTAAAAAAAAGAAATGCTAAAAAAAGGGACTAACTTGGTGCCAAAGGGAACTTAGAGAAAAGATTCAAGGCTCCCGAAGGATGCTTCCATCTGTCCCACTAGAACAGGGGGTGGGGAGGAGGGCAGAGTTGAGCCCCTTGCTAAACTGTCCTGGAGGGGGTTGGACTCCGAACCAGAAGCTCCCACAGGATGGGGCAGGCAGGGGGGTGCCCGGTCTCCGGGAGGCCTGCACCAGGCGAAGGAGGAGCGTGATGGACAGAGCCTGGCTGGCCTCTTCAGCTAAGAAGGCCCAGGATCCTGAAGAGGAGAGGCCAGGGCCACCATCATGCTGCCCGGGAAGGAACTGAACCCTCCTGCTGAGCCTCTAAGTGGATGTGACTTCACCTGGGAGACGGCATGGCAGCTGAGTGCCCAAGACCTGGACCAGCCCCGAGTCTGGTGGGAAATTAGCTCTTTCATCTCATTCAAGGTCACTTCAAGGAGAGTCCTACAGATGACCCCCAGGAATCAGCTCTGCAGGGCAGGCCCCTCATCACAAAAACACACAGCCCAGCAGTGGGACCTGGAATGTTCCAGGAACAGGAAAGCTTGGGGATGGGAGTGTGTGAGGTGGGGAGTGGGGGGGGGGGGGGGGGGGGAGGATCAGGGTCCATGGCAGGAGAAAGGGCTGCTGAATGAGGCTCCTTTCATGCAGAGCCCCAAGGCTATAAATAACCAGGCAGCTGCTCAACAGCTGGTGCAGAGAATGGTCTGGGCAGGGGCAGCGTTGGGGGAGTTCGATAAGAGAGCCCCCAACTGGGCACACCTTTGAGTGTGCGGGAGGAACCCTATACGGCCCGGAGGGAGCTACAGACCTCCCCCGCCTTACAACCAGAACCCACAGCTGGTTTAAGACTGGACAAAAGAGACACAGGGTCGGCCGTGTGACCCTTTGTAGATATGGAGACTGCCTGCTGTCCTGACCATGTTGTTAGCACATTTAGTGTTTGCTTTTAAAGAAAAGAAAAAAAAGCCTTTTAAAAAAATTGAGCCATAGCTTACACATAGCTTCATGAGTATTTACCTATTGATACACCTATGTAACTATCAGCTAGGTCAAGGTGTAGGACATTTTGAGCACCTCAGGGGACTGTCTTGTGCCTGTGTCGTCAATAACCCCACCATCCAAGGCTAACCACTGTTTTTATCTCTGTCACCTTAGGAAGATGTCTTCTTCCTTGTAACTGCATAATTGATTCATCTCGCTGGAATCCCACAGTGAGTCCTGGCTTCTTTCACTCATTGACATGCCTGTGAGGTTCCTCCACATTGTGGGTAGCAGAACTTTGTCCTTCTTCATTACTATGTAGTATTCCATTGTATGATAAGACCATGATTTATTT